AGGGCTATCAAAATGTTTAAAATCCCAGAGGGCAGGGATGAGATTCACTTTAGGCCAGGCAGGGTGTCCCGATTTTGAAAATCTGTGGACTTTCAACTCCCAGAATTCTGGAAGTTGAAGTCCACAAAGTCTTTAAAAGTTGCCACGGTTGGATGTCCCAACTCTAGGCCTTTAAACTCCATCCTCCCGTTTAAAACGCTCTCCTTTGATTCCTGCCATCCTGGCTTTACCAACCTCCTGAAATTAAAACAATAGGCCTTAAAATGTGGGTTTTTTTAATTAAAAAAATTGTTTTTGGATACACCAAGCCTGAATCCCCAACTGATCTCCAGCTTGGCTTTCAGGATCCAGGAAATTTAAAAAATAAAACAAAAAAAACCCTTCGAAGTCTGCCAGCATCTCGCTGAAACTTACGAAGGTTAGTACGGTTCCGCGAGCAACTTTTTGTGAGACCTTCCTTCTGCCATTTGCGCTATTTGCAGCAGAGCTTGCAAACTCCAAAAAGAGGGATGGTTTTTTTTTCTCGGTCTCGAAGAGAAAGCCCTATTCATAGACCCGGGGAAAGAGGGTCAAGAGAAGGAATTTTTAAAAAATACGGAATCCGGCCTCCTGCCGTAGGAGCATAAAATCCAAGTCACAATCCATACAAACAGGGAGAGGAAGAGGGAAAGCTAAAAGGTAAAATTATTGGCTCTACGGAGATTTCAAGATCTACGAAGATTCACACCGAACTCTTCCAGCGAGTCACCGCACTTGTCAAAGGAAAGTCGCTCTGGCTCGAAAGAAGTAATGCATCGTGGTTTATGGCTAGATCTCTCATAGGAAAAAGGCTGTCCCGGGAGCATCGGGGGACTTCTCCTTAGAGTTCTTCGAAGAAGGCCACTCGGGATTTGGTGCTCTGTAAGGTGAGCTGAGGAGACAAAAAGAGAATAAAAAAACATGGTTAGGGGGCCGAAGGTGGCTCGTCTTTGGTGGCTTTTGCCGAAGGCCGGCTTCCATTGTGGCTCATTCGGGCTCCGAGAATGAGAGAGAGAGAAGGTCCAGGTTGAAAAACTCAGTCGTGGCACAAATGATGGTTTATAGAGAAAGCCAAAAAAAACAAAAAAAAAAAAACAGGCCATGGACAGGATGTAAGAGGGCTTCCTTGGTGCTATCTAGAACTTGGTTGTTTTCTCGCAGAAGTTCCACGACCCTTTCCATGAAACTAGGGAGCTTCACCAGTGCTAGAAGGGAATGGGGTTTGAGGAAAGGAGGAGAAGGAAAGGGAAAGAGGAGGAGGAGGAGATGGTGAGTTCTAATCCTGCTTTAGGTATGAAAGATGGCTGGGTAACTTTGGGCAATCACCAGGAGACAGGGAGTTCTAGTACCACCTTAGGCATGAAAGACGGTTGGGTGACTTTGGGCCAATCACCAGGGGACGGGGAGTTCTAGTACCACCTTAGGCATGAAAGATGGCTGGGTGACTTTGGGCCAATCACCAGGGGACGGGGAGTTCTAGTACCACCTTAGGTATGAAAGACGGCTGGGTGACTTTGGGCCAATCACCAGGGGACGGGGAGTTCTAGTACCACCTTAGGCATGAAAGACGGCTGGGTGACTTTGGGCCAATCACCAGGGGACGGGGAGTTCTAGTACCACCTTAGGTATGAAAGACGGCTGGGTGACTTTGGGCCAATCACCAGGAGACAGGGAGTTCTAGTCCTGCCTTAGGCATGAAAGCCAATTGGGTGACTTTGAGCCAGCCATTCTCTCTCAGCCCAACTCCCCTCACAGGGTTGTTGTGCTGGGGAAAACAGGAGGGAGGGAGGCTTATGTATGTTTCCCGCCTTGAAGTCCTCGTGCAGCAAAGCGAGAAAGGCAGGATCAAAATCAAGTCCATAAACAAATATGTGGCCCTGCCAGGAATGAAGAGCAAGTGGACAGACCCACCACCACCAGCGTACCCCGGACCCAGTGGGACTTATATGTAAAAAAAAAAAAAAAGGCCTAATTTCCCCCATCCTCCGCCCCATACACACTCCTCAAAGCTAAAGGGATGGATGGCTGCGTTCACCTTCCAGCTCACCAAGCGCATTCCAGCCTCTGCAAAGCTATTCAGGATCCTCCAGCCAGCCAGATAGCAGCCCATCCGTTTCCCCCACCCCCCCACCCTCCTTTGCTGAGGCTGCCCACCCCTCACCCCCCTCCTCTCCCTGTCTAAAAAGACAATGAATCATCCCCGGATGGACAATTCGCTGAAATATTTATGGTTACACCGAAACTCTGGAGGGACAGGACAAGAATACCAGGGCTCCGAGCTAGAGAACTCATTTTCATTTGGTCAGCTTCGTGTGTGAATGGATGGGGACACACACACACACACACACACACACACACACAGAGTCCTTGATAGGAATGGTAAAGGAAGAGGGGCTTTCGATCCGCTCTCCGCTGGCCCCTTGAAAAACAGACAGCTGCCAATACTAAGGGGTCTATTTTCCTGGAGTTGCATAATACAATGGGGCCCTAAGCTATCCAACTGCTTTGAGGACATCAGAGGCTAGGCTCGCCCGCTAAACAATAAAAACACCAAAAACCAATCGAACTGCAAATATGGCTCCTTGGGTCTTTCACCGAATTAAGGAGCCGCGGGGGGGGGGGGGGGGGAAACCTACGAAGAAGAACCGGTTGCAGGAACTGGGGATATGTCTAGTTTGATGAAAAGAAGGACTATGACATGATCGCAGCCTTCCGATATCTCAGGGGGCTGCCCCAAAGAGGAAGTCAAGCTATTTTCCAAGGCAACTGAGGGCAGGTACAAGAAGCAACGGGTGGAAACCAATCCAGGAGAGATCCAGTCCAGAACTAAGGAGGAATTTCCTGACGGTGAGAAGAATTCGTAAGTGGGACAACTTGGGTTCCAGAAATTGTGAACGCTCCAACACGGTTCGCTGCTTCTGTTTGCAGTGAGAAAATTCCTACGCTCATCCAAAACCCTGCCGCCACCACCAGAGAAGCCGAATTCTCCTGTCTCTATAAATTATGGATATAATTATAAATAAATTTGCGTGATTTCTCCGGCTTTACATAATTCAGCCTGCTTTTAATTTTATCCCAGCAGTTTGCTAAAAAGCAATAAGGTTCCGCAGCTCGGCTGCCCATAAAGCATGTGGCTTTTGCCAAGGTGTGAAGTGAGGAAATTGCCCAAAACACAGAATGCCTGCATCTCCCACTGCTTGGGGGAAGAAAAAAATCCATTGTGAAGATTTCGGCACACACAACCTGCGTTACACTGTAAATGTGACTTTACATAAGGAGAGAGAGAGAGACAGAGAGACAGAGAGAGGAGATAAAGTGTGATGAGAGGGAGAGAGGGGGGAGAGAGAGGACAGAAAGAGAGAGAGAGAGAGAAGAGAGAAAAACAGAGAGGGGGGGAGAGGGAGGGAAAAAAGAGAGAAGAGAGAAGAAAGGGGGAGAGAGAGAGAGAGAAGGAAGGCAGAGAGAGGGAGAGAGGACAGAAAGAGAGAGAGAAAGAGAAGAGAAAAACACAGAGAGAGGAAGAGAGGGAGAGAAGAGAGAGAAGAAGAGAGAAGGAAGAGATAGTGATGAGAGACAGAGAAAAGGAAGGCAGAGAGAAGGAGAGAAAGAGAGAGAAGAGAGAAAAACAGAAAGACAGAGAAAGAGGAAGAGAGGGAGAGGGAGAGAAGAAAGAGAGGGAGAGAGAGAGAAAAAAACAGAGAGATAGGAAGAGAGGGAGAGGGAGAGGAGAAAGAGAGAGAGAGAAGGCGAAGAGAGAGAGAGAAAGGGAGAGAAGAGAGAAAGACAGAGAAAGAGGAAGAGAGGGAGAGAGAGAGAGAAAGAGAGAGAAGAAAGACAGAGAAAGGGAGAGAGAGAGAGAAAGGCAGATGGTGATAATTAAGCAGCCAGACCTCAAAGGAGATCTGGAGATGAGGAAGATTTCTGCCAGATGTTCTGTATTCTTCCCATGAACTAGGTGATTATTAGATTTTTTTCCTTCACTCCCTGAAAACTCCATTGCAGCCAGATCAGTTTTGCAGCTGCTAACTCAATAACTAGAGGCGAGGAACTTCTGCTGCCGTGGCAAACTGTTGTAGAATTGAAATGCGACCGATAAATGGATTTTTCTCTTCCTTTCCCAATAAGGCTGGTTGGTCCTGGGTTTAAAAACAGGAGGAGGAAAAGCCTGGATTCCTGGTTGGAATCCCTGAAGCTGTTTGGCAGTCAGAAATTCCCAAGGACGGGAAGGCTGAGTCAACCTTGAGCCGGTCAGGATCGAACTCGTGACAGTCGGCAGAATTAGACTGCAACGTTGCATTCTAACTGCCTGGAATTGAAGAAACAAAACCCCATCCTTTGTTTCTTTACAAAATGTCAAAACAGCCTCTATCCTACCCCCCAACAAGTTGTCCAGCTTCCACAACTGTATCTGGAGACGCCAGCCTGCGTTGTATTTTATTAACCTCTTTCCATGCGCGAAACAGATCCGTCTTATCAGCAAAATGCAGGTGATTAAAAAACAAACAAACGCAGGTACATTACATCGTCTGCCTCATCTTATCTAACGGGGCGTAGGATTTTAAATCCCTGTTTGTGTTTCAGTGGGTAACCTTCATCCGATAGACACCAGTGTCGAGGAATACATCCATAATTTAAGGCGGGGAGCCCCAACCTCGGGGCCGTGGAACGGCACCGGTCCGTGGCACGCCGGAAATGGGGCCACAGAAACAAGCGAAACCTCACCTGCAGGATGCAGGCAGCATGCAAAACCAGACAGTGGGGGAAAAAAACACCCTCTCTCTACAGAACCGGTCCCAGATATCCAAAAGGTTGGAGGGCGAGGGGAGAGGAATGCTGCTTTAAGGGACTGTACTCTCCGGAAAATTGTCTGCAGTATCCCTGGAAATAAGGAGGAAGAAACATTTCAAACGTTCAATAAAACAAAGAATAAGCAGCTGTTCTCAACTGGGTGAAACCAGGCTTAACAGCAGTGAGAGGGATCTTGGAGTCTTAGTGGACAAGCAGCTAAATAGGAGCCAGCCCTGTGCAGCAGCAGCCAAAAAAGCCAATGCAATCCTAAGTTGCATTAACAGAGAAATACAATCGAGACCAATGGAGGTACTAATACCACTCTATAAAGCCTTAGTAAGACCACACCTAGAGTACTGCATCCAGTTTTGGTCACTGCACTTATAAAAAGGATGTTGAGGCTCTAGAAAAAGTGCAGAGAAGAGCAACCAGGATGATTATGGGGACTGGAGACTAAAACATACGAAGAACAGTTGCAAGAATTGGGCCTGGCTAGTCTAGTGAAGAGAAGGACCAGGGGAGACAGGAGAGCTGTCTTCCAATATTTGAGGGGCTGCCACAGAGAGGAGGAAGGGGTCAAGCTATTTTCCAGGGCCAGAGAAGGAATAATGGGTGGAAACTGAACAAGGAGAGATTCAACCTGGAAATAAAGGAGGAATTTTTCTGACAGTGAGAACAATCAACTCATGGAACAGAAGTTGCCCTCGGAAGTTGTGGGAGCTTCATCACTGGAAGCTTTCAAGAACACACTGAATCTGTCAGAAATGGTGTAGGGTCTCCTGCTTGGGCAGGGGGTTGGGCTAGATGACCTACAAGGTCCTTTCCAACTCTGATTATCTGTTATCTGACAGTATTTTTTTTAAACGACAACAACAACCCAGTTTCATCTCTTTGACCGAAAAGCCAGAACGAGATTACTTGAAGTTCAGCCAGATCAAATTCGTGCAGCCAGCAGGGCAGCCTAGAGAGAAATCGTTTTTAAGGAGAGATACCCGCCAATGAACCTGCAGAGATGATAAAAAGGGATTAGCATGTTAACCACATCATTAAACGTGGAGAACTTCGAAGGAGCCTCCCAAGGCAGGGATGAACGCTCAAAGGACA